TATTCGTAAACGAATCGTTTAGACTGACACATAAAATCAAACATATATGGATCATAATAAAACATTAATTTAGTTAACCAGTTCAACCGGTTAAAAGATCCGACTCAACAGAACAATTTGTTCATCGGTGCATTTTAAAAATCTTTGGCAGGTATAACTGCTCACATGGACAATAAATGGGAAAGGCGCGTCGTTAATATTTGAGCTATATATCATTTTTTGAGAATATTAATTTAACAATTCCTCTGCGTTGTCAAGTCCTTTATCCCAAGATGCAGAATATTATTCATAAATGCTCGTATTTTCTCAGTGACTCAAATGTTGTCTCGCCTACTCTTTCTTTCCCTCACTCACACCAAAGAGTACACACACACAGCATGCTTGATATGTGATGCGCGAACATGCTGCTGACGTACTTCCGCTAAACACCGTTCCAGAGCTTGCAAGAATCGAGGCGCATTGTGTGAACTTCATGTTGTGTATTAAGAAGTTTATCTTATAGCTAGAATCACAATATTAGTAAGACAGAGAAACACCAGATTTATGACGAGCCCAAAACATTTATTAGGTATACTGCTGCTGACCTTCTTTTCAAGTTTTTAAGAGTATTTTTCTATTGAGAATTGCAACATTTACAGACGCCATTTTCCTACCAGCATAAAAGATAGATTTGCTAGATTATACTTTTTTTTTTATTTTTTTTTTTAAATAACGTTAATTATGAGTAATTAAACATTACTATATTATGTAATGTACAATATAGCTTTAGTTAGAAAATTAATTAGATAAAAATGTCTTGGAAAATATATGTAATGTTTTGTTCTCAATGGACCCTCTTTTCTATATCCTTTTAATTAGTGACGTGACATGTGGCCAAGTATGGTGACCCATACTAGGAATTAGTGCTCTGCATTTAACCCATCCAAAGTGCGCACACACACACAGCAGTGAACAGACATACACTGTGAACACACACCCGGAGCAGTGGGCAGCCATTTGCTGCGGCGCCCGGGGAGCAGTTGGGGGTTCAGTGCCTTGCTCAAGGGCACCTCAGTTGTGGTATTGAAGGTGGAAGAGAGCGCTGTACATTCACTCCCCCCACCTACAATCCCTGCCGGTACGAGACTCAAACCCACAACCTTTGGGTTACGAGCCCGACTCTCTAACCATTAGGCCACGACTTCCCCTTAAATCGATACTATAAAGGACAGTTATTTGTACAAGTTATTTGTCCACTTCTCTCAACTTTGTTCATTATTTTTTGCCAATTTGATTCTCTAATTTTTTAATCAAAATGCAATTCTATAGTTTTAATTGTGGCATGAACCTATGATAGTTTTCACAATAGAGTTCAGTCATGAGACTGATCTTAGATACTGCAGTTTTACTGTGCTGCATTGATGTATGAGGTATGTATGTTTGCATTGGATTAGTGGAGATTATTTATGACATTTGGTGTCTTTAGCTGTTACAGCTGTCTATACACAGTGGCATTGACCTGTGGGTGTATGTCTGGTCGACTGATGCATAGGAAATAAGAGGACATGGAAATACCCAGCGCTGGGGCATGGGATAACCAACCTCTCCTTTCCTGCCCACACCAGGCCAATAGGGGTCACTTGCACCAACATACAGGAAGCCCAGATACTTAGCAACATGGAGAGGATCCTTTCACTGTACATCATTGTGGGAAAACGTACTTGGTTACTAACGTAACCTCGGTTCCCTGAGATACGGGAACGAGTACTGCGTCTGCTTAAGACGCATATGGGAAAAAAGCCTTTTTTCTCCTGAACTGAAGCCTTTTCATTCACGCAGTGAAACTGCACGGCCATTGGTTCATGCAGTGCTTAAAAAACGAACCAATGGCTTGGCAGCGGAGCTGCACGAGCCTATGGCGGTAAAGCCCGCCAAAAACTGCCAGAATGGGCCCTATAGAGAAGTCAACAATAACCCAAGGCTAAGACGGGCTGAGCTTTCTAGGTCACACCCGGCCTGGTTAATCGTTCCAGAGTATCCCCGTAACTTCGACACCCACGGGTCGAGAGCTAACAGGTGAACAATGCCAAAGAACTTGGGCGTGGTACGGCCAAGGGCTCTCTGCCATATCTGTGAACGCAGCGCGTGTTATTTCAAGCGGAAAGGACCCTGGCCTGTAAAGCCGGGACTTTCAGGTTATAAAACCTTGCAAATGTGGACGGCGAGGCCCAGCCGGCCGCCTCACAAATATCCGCAATGGACACGCGCCTGCAGGTCCCCCTATTCGCTTTACTGATGCTAGTGCTAGAAGCAGAGTAGACTTCAGCGATAGCGACCTAATGTTGGCAGACTGGAGCGGCTCAAAAGCGGGGCCCTTCAGGGCCCTCAGCACAGTGGGCAGGTCCCATGAAGGGATTGGAGGCCCAAGGAAGAGTATGCTAGCGAGATGGCGTCTACTATCCATCTAGAGAGTCTTTGCTTCGTAACCGGAAACCCTTTGGTGCGGTTACCGAAGCTGACAAAGAGTTGTTCCGATCGCCTATAGGGAGGGGAACGCTCAATATAGGTTCCCAACGCTCTGACGGGGCAGAGCAGAGATAGCTCTCTGTCCTCTTCAGTTGGAGAGCGTAATGACCTGTGCTCTGAACGGAGTGGAGTGCACTTTAGGTACGTAACCATGCCTTGGTTTCAGGACGACTTTAGTGTCGTTAGGCCCGAATTCCAGGCAGGCAGGGCTAATTAGAGAGCACCTGAAGGTCCCCTATTCACTTTACTGATGCTAGTGCTAGAAGCAGCCTCGAAAGCGGGGCCCTACAGGGCCCTCAGCACAGTGGGCAGGTCCCATGAAGGGACGTTAGGGGGACGAGGCGGATTCAGCCTCCTTGCACCCCTCAGTAAGCGGATGACCGCGCTATTTCTGCCCACAGATTGACCCTCAATAGGGACATGAGAGGCCGCTATAGCCGCCACATAGACTTTGAGCGTGGATGGGGAACGACCCTTATCCAGCAGCTCTTGTAGAAATGACAACACTTCTGCCAATTCGGAAGTGAGGGGGTCTTTGCAGCGGTTTAGACACCAGGCGGAGAAAAAAGACCACTTTAAGGCTTAGAGGCGTCTCGTAGACGGAGCTCTAGCCTCCGAAATTGTGTTTAAGACTCGCTCTGGGAGGTACGAAGGCTCCCGTCGAGCAGCCAGAGGTGCAGGGCCCATAGGTCGGGCCGAGGATCGGGAGTTCTTCCAGGGGGTCAGGGCCGATACACAGGCCTGACTCACACTGATATGCAGGAGTCCGTGACGCCACGCATGGGATGGAACCCGAGGTTTCAACCAGCGCTGAAGGGGGTGCATACGCAGACCCAACTGTAGCACTGGAGATGCTGCTGCCATGAGGCCCAGCATTCTTTGAAACGCTTTGAGAGGGCGAGCGGTACCGATCTTGAAGGAGGTCGCCAGCCTCCGTATGGCCAGAGCTCGTTCTGGCGTGACTACAGCTTTC